ATAGTTCGAAAGCCTACTTTAACAATAGAAAAAACGGCTTTTTGTAGCGATTCAGAAAACCGGAAAAATCAGTTATCCGGAATAGCGATCGTTCCGGATAATCGGTTCCCTACTGTAGTAGGAAATGAATTGCTTTAAACATGCTCTTCAATTGAATTCCATTTCAATTCAGAACCTACTTCTTCTGGGTTTGATGAGGATGGGTTTTGTTTCGTCACTGGGAGTTCCCAGTCCCGCTTCATTGATGGCCGTCACACGGAATTGGTATGTTTCTCCGTTCTCCAGCCCCGTCGCTTTACCGGAATTGACATTATCGTCCAAGAGGGCAGCTTTCGTCCACTGGACGGAACCCTTGCGCTTCTTCTCTATGAGGTAACCGGTTATGGGCGAACCACCATCTTTCTTCGGGGATTCCCATGCGAGCTCCACTCTATCCTTGTCCCAGTCTTTAACGGTTGGAGTGCCGGGTTGTCCTGGGGGATCTGTGGAAACAATAATAACACTCTGTTATACACCATACACACATACGTCCCGCAATCGAAAAGAGTAGAACACCGAAATCAAGCATCACTGGCTGCTGTCAGTAAGCGGGTGGGTGACCACTTGGATCCTCCTGCGTATGAGCGGAGGTCCTCGTTCAACTGTTCTACCACAAAGTGCTATACTTCGCTCGAAGGGCTACCGAAGCAGGGGAGCCATCCCCTCTGCTTGCGATGACAGACATTCGGATCATCTTCAGGTATGTTTCCCAGACCGTCACCCATAGCCCAGTGTGCAGCTCTAGTGAGAGGTAAATAAAGTACCTTATACATATACGGTATTTTAATTCTAGTTTTAGACGAACGAATGCAATTATTATTATAAGTTTTTCCCCAGAAGAAATGTGAAATCCTGTGGGAAACTTCTCTTAATGTATTCTAGCCTATTAAATGTATTGATTTATCCCTTGTAACACACGGGATGAGGATTACCTGCGAGATTTTCCCTCTAAAAGGCGACGAGCGTCGTTTTTGGTGTGATTTTGTTGTTTTCTTTCCTCACCCTAATCTCTATAGTTTGTCTAAAGTAAGAACTCCCCTAACCATTCGTCTGAATGGTGACTATGCTAACGAGGTTATAACTATTTTAGGTAGGGGTGTGGGGTCACTGCTTAGGACAGGTTTTGGCTCTGGTCCGTGAGAGGAATCTTTTTCTCCGGTCTATTGCGTTAGCCCCAGAGTGAAGAAAAGCCACCCTCGCTGCGCTATTCTTGTTTCCATAGCAGTAGGCGACCTCAGACTTTGTGGCGGGAGGAGTCCTTACCGCAGACAAACTATAAATAAAGAGAGGCTTTTGGCCATCCTGTTTTAAATACAATACATTTTTTTAATTATTCATTACGAATAATTAAAAATATATATTTATAATTTCATTAACGAATTCTAAGACAGATAATTATGAAATTAAAAAAAAAACAGTTTGAAAGAGCAACTTTTCAGTGACTGAAAAAGTAAGAAATAAAATATTGGGTGTTTTGCTCAATGCCTCTTTATATGTCTCAAAATATGTGACAAGAATTTCTAAAGGAAACAGTCAGTGATTTATTCGATGTCAATTGGAAACATTTGCTTACGCAAAAAATAGATTACAAAAAAAATTTGCGGCTCATTATAAAATAAAATGAATCTAGAAAATTAACTCTTGTCATTCAAAAACTGCACATAATTATTTCTTAATTTTTCTTTCAGAGCCTTTGAAAATCTTTTTTAAAATTATTATCATTACTAAAATGTAACATCAGAATAATTCCATAGTAAAACTACATTTTACTAAATGCATGTTCCATAATTGCAATTTCATTTAACTACAGTTTATGCGTACATACTCATACGAGATGATCTTGGGTGTCAAAAAGGCTATTGTTGGGGTCTGCCAATTCTTAAAGGTATTTTTAAAATAGTTGCAAACAAATCTTACCGTATGGATTCTTTGCAATAACTGGTTCGAAAGCATCCAAAGGATCAGACTCTCCTTCTGCATTAACGGCCTTCACTCTGAACTTATATTCATGTCCTGTGATTAAAAAAAAGATACATATAAAGTCACCTGACAGTGCAAATAGTTGAATATTGTCTTCATTATGGCAATTTATTAGTTAATCTGATAGTATCCGATTTTGAAATGAAATAAACAATCAGTGATCAGGGGCCTGTCCAGTCATTTTGTGAAAGGTCCTTTTTTGTAAAATTGTGAAAAAATTACGCGTCATTTGTAAATATAAAATAAACGTTAAGTCACATTCTTTCAACCAGGGTCCGGCTTTTGTGAATGTGTGCGAATAGGGTCCTGTTATTGCAATAAAACTTTTTCAAGGAGTTTTTAAATTGTAAAGACATACGAGATTATGCTTAACACTGTAAAATTATAAGGAAAAGAATTAACTTTTGAAAAATGAACAGCAATTGCTGCTACTAAATTAGACATGCAACTTACATGTATTTGGTATTTAGCCTATACTGATAAACGCAGAATATTCGTTTCGGACGAATATGGGAAGAAGCGTCTGCCGAAGACAAAATTTAATTCGTTTACATCTGTCTTTCCTCCCCCCCCCCTGGAAAGGTTTATTCGATTAACAAAACAATAATGAAGATAAACAAATTAGTGAAGGATCCGATTAAAAGATAAATCATTTTTTGAAGGGTCTTCTAAACAGACCCCTGGTGATAAACAATTTTTCTTATTTTATAACCGTCGTTGAACAGCCAACCCAATTTTTGGGCTTACGACTACTAATGTAACCTTGTAATTTTGACCCAACCTTGTAAACAACTCCGTAACCTTGTCATTTTGACATTAGTTCCAGAGTTTATTTCATTTTCAAAATTCGTGATCGCAACGAACTATAGGGGGCATGAGACGAATACCTGCGATTTCTATATGAACAGTCATTCAGTTACTCTGGAAACGTCTTTAATGTAGCATGTAGCATTGTAACGCTCCTTCTTTATTGTGGCTTATTAAATTTAAAAAAGAAAAATTTTTGATATTCTTTCTTATGCAAAAGAAAACAAAATGGTATCTTTTTTTTTAGAGAAGGAACATCCAAAACACATCAGAAAAATATTTGTAAATAAACAGAAAAAAATATGTATCTTATTAGAGTTATTCTTATTAGAGTTAAAACCCATGATATAACATGAAATGCTCATTTAAACTTTACATTCCATAGTTTTAAGAATCATATTACTTCAAACATTAAAATTAACAAAAAGTAGGACATAAAGCCTCATAATTTTATGTAATTTAATTTTGTAAGCAAAGTTTTATGACAACAATTTATATCAAAAAATTTTAAGTTTCAATAAAAATCATTATTTAGAAACTAAAAAACGTAAAATAAAGAATGCTTGCGAAACAAAACAAAAAAAATCTTTTTGACGCCATTTTTTAGTGCTACGAAAATGCGTCTTTGGGATTTGCCAATAACAAAACAAGATGCAATTTTATTTTTTCAGGAGCGAAATATTTTACCGTAAAAACGAAAATGTACCAATTCTCATGACATTAAACTTTATCTTGGTAAACGCAAGTTTTGGAAATGTTATTTCATTTGGAATCTTATTTATCAGAGTTCACATGGCGATATGATTGTTTTGAATCTATGCTAAACTCTATATCGGCCCATTTTTCACCGAAATCCGATTGACTACTTTGATTTCAAATAAAGTGTTTTATTTTATGACCTGTGGAAAAAATTTTAAGTGTAGATTGGCGGCACTTAAAAACCGCCAAATCTGTAGTGGCGGTGGCGTTAATACGTAAGTACCGAATTTTTTATTCTATACTTTTCTGAATCTTATTACTTCAAACATTAGAATATACAAGAAGTATACATAAACACATAATGTTATACCATTTAATTTTTCAAAAAACGTATTTTGACAACAATTTTTATCAAAAAACTGTAAACTAAAAAACGTAAAATAAAGAGTTCTTATGATAAAAAATGATTTTAAAAATTCTTCATATTGAAATAAAAACTTTCATATCCTTATTGTTCTTAATCAGACGTAAAAAACCATTCTGTAGAGAACCATCATCAAATGAAAAAAAAATATTTACAAGCAAATTTTTTATTGTAAAAATCATTGCACTTACCTGATTTATAATTCCCGGAGAATTCCAAAATGATAAGTTCCTTGTTTGAAAACTTTATTCTCAAATAATAGATACATAGTTTAT